ATTGTTTTTGTTTCAATCACGTGATATCTTAATTTACTTGTTGTTGTTGTTTTTTTTTTGTTGTTTTGTTTTTACAGAATACCGCGCCATCTACTTACATTCTGCTCCATAAACAACTTATCCTTGTTAATAATAATTTCGTCTCACTAGATCGTATTTTGTATTATACTAACACGTTCAGCTAATAGTGAAATGTGTATTTTCTTAATTTTAACATATTCATTCACTCTATATTTCAAGTTCCTTTTAGTCTGATCGATGTATATACTTCAACATTCACAAATTATTTTGTAAATACCTGTCTTTTTTTATTATATTCACTTTATCTTTAATTGTTCTGATAATTGATTTACTTTATTTATGAGTTTCTATATAGGCTAAAATAAATTATTTTTTATATGTTAACAAGTTTACAAGTTAAACAAGGTAAAAAAGATACAATTAACCTTTCTTTTTCAGATACTTTCATCAAATTATTATTATCACGAGTCTGTTTCATAAATTTCTTAACTGCTCTGTTAATAATATCTGGGCAAAAACCTCTACCAACTGCTATATGTTTCAAAAATAATATTTCGTTATCCAATTATTGTTCAGAATACAGTTTTATAGTTTTCTGTATATACATAAAAATAGAAATATAATATGTTTTGAGCTTTTAATGAGACGATAATTGATGTGAAGGCATAATCACATAGAAAGGTTTACTATAGGTTGTAGTTTTTAACTTTTGTTCATTTTCTTATACTATTACGCCTAAAAAAGGTACACTGTTATTTCTTACCTCATATGTAAATTTAATAGAAGTATCTAAACGATTTAGATAACTAACGTATTGTGCTAGAAAACAGAAAATTTGATTAAATATGTTGGTGAGACCTTTGCAATATGGTGACATGGTTAAGAAACTTTAACAAACTATGAAGATTAAAATATCAGATAAGTAAACAGAAGACATAATTTTTTATAACAACAATCAGATTTTGTCTGTCCTGAAAATGATCGTACACCTTACTATCTAAATACGTACGCGCACTTCATTTCAGCGGACGTAAAGAGCCCAAGACTGTGACCAAGTACACCAGTTCCGAATAATATTTTCTTCTTCTCTTTTCAAATCAAACGGCCATTTTCAGACACTGAAAAGGTCAAGATAGATCAGTGTTTACAAAATGTCATCAATAGCACAAACCTGATGAATGAATATTGTTGCGTATCTGTTTGTTTGTTTGTTTCTCGTAGAAATTTCCAGAGGATCTTCAGTGATACAAGTCATTTCTTTATTAAACCAGTTTATTCTTCTTCGATACAAGCTTTTAGTACACAGAGAGTTCCACAATCAGTACGTTTCTCGTCACTTTAAACTTAACAACTTTTATAATACAAGCTATAAATCATAGCGATTGACAATCTCGATAACTTTACGGCACACACTTTACGGCACACTAGCTTGACACTAACAGAATCATAAATTACACGGAATTCAAAGTAACTACTGCTCTCTCTTCATTTATATATCTCGTCGCGCTGGCTTTCCTCTGCCAGGCTTATATACTAATGAAGAGGGCATCTCCAAAATACTCGGACTTCCCCGATCATTCGAGAAATTAATCACTCGCGCCACCAGTACCAATGCTCCAGCAGCGTCACGTGACTTCCGCTGTCGTAACACTGCCCCTTCCTTAGTATTGTTCGTCCC